AGCAGGGCCATTAGGAAACAGGTAACAACAAGAAGGACGAGGAGGAGGGAGGCTAAGGAGAGATTACAGGGGGCTTTCTGAGAGGAATATTGTGGAACTGGGTCTGCTGGGAGAGACCCCTCCAGCCTCAGGCTCTCCATAACCCCCCCTACATATTTGTGTTTCTGTCCCTAGCTATGTGGAAAGGCAAAGGGCAGTGCATGAGAAGAATGGGAAGAAGATACCTACCCTGTCTAGCCCATCTTCTCCCCTGACTTCCATGGCCCCAGTTGCTGATTCCTCCACGAGGGTGGACTCTCCTAGCCATGGCCTGGTGACCAGCTCACTCTGTAGCCCATCTCCAGCCCGGTTGTCCCAAACCCCCCATTCACTACCCTCCCGGCCTGGTACTTACAAGGTAAGAGGGGGAGGCACTTTTCCCCTAACTTAATTCTCTTTCATTGTCTGTTTAGTTTCAGGTGTTCCATCTGAATATTACACGCACCACATCCTCTCTCTTCCTTTTTCCTCACCCCTGTTTTTAATCTCTGATAAGTCCTTCCCTCCGCTTCTACTCCCCCTATATTCCAGACAGACATCTCTTTCTGACTCCATCTCTCACTCCCCTGCAGATGAGTGTGGCCACACAGTGCGATCCTGAGGAGATCATCGTGCTCTCAGACTCTGATTAGCTGCCTCTCCTCCCACTGCCAGCTTCCAACAAAATGTTTTGGGATAGTATTTGGAGGATGGTGGGAAGCTGATCACGAGGAAGGGATTGATTGAGCTAATCGCCTTTTGGTGGTGTATCTTTTAAAAAAAAAAAAAACAAACAAAAAAACAACAAAAACTTAAGTTTTACACAGAAACATTAATAAACAATAAAGTTCTTTTCTTATTGTATCCTTGTCTTTTCCTTGTCCTTACATACGCAATGCTTGGCACCAGCTGTTCTCAGGTTCAGGGTTCCCTGACCCCTGGCAACACTTTGGAGCTGTCCTTTGTAGCCTGTCCTTACCTCGCCCTCAGGCCTTCCCCTTGCCCTCTGCCTGGCACTTAACAAAACAAAACAAAACAAAACAAAACAAAACGTGCTTCGGCGTCCGAAATACGCTTTACTTTCTCAATTTGAGCTGTAGGAGTAAAAAGGCCAATCAGGGGCCGACTCAAGGTTATTTGGCCAATCCGTGCCTGGAGGAAGGGGGCGGGGCTTCAGGGGGACGGTCAGAAGCTGGGAGAGCAAGGTAATTAGATAGCACAAACCCGCTAATGGCCACAGTTCAGGGGCGGAGCCTAAGCGGCGATGGCCAAGGCCCTTGGCCAATGGGAAGAACAGGCTTACAGAATTAAAGGGAAATGAATGCTTTGGCCAAACCACCAAGTCCTGAGTTCTTCAGCGGCGGAAGAGGCCTGTTACCTCTAAGGTGGAATGAGACCTCTGTTCTTTAAAGGAGAAGTGTCCGAGTCGGCCAAGCATTGCCCAGCGGCACGGGCGGGGGTGCCCGCCTGTGCCTTTAAAGCCGGAGGGGCGGGAGGCGGAGCGGAGGCGGAGGGCGGAGGGAGTCGGCGCAAGATGGCGGCGGGAGGGGCCCAGGCTGCTGCTCTGGCCGCCGAGTGAGGGGCGGGGGGGCCCGGGGGCGCGCGGCCCGGTAAGCGGGGACGCGCGGGGTTGGGGGGCGCCTTCCGGGTGGGAGAGGAGGTCGAAGTAGCGCTTGGGGCGGAGCAGAGGTGGGCGGGGTCCGGTGTGGGCGGGGGTAGGCAAGGGGCGGGGCCGAGAGGGCCACGGGGGTGGGTCTTGAAGAGGTGGGGCCGAAAGGGCCAAGGGGAGTGTCTTGAAGGGGCGGGGCTAGAGGTAAGCCGGGGGGCAGAGGGGGCCTTGGCTCGAGAAAGAGCTGGGTGGGGGGGGATAGGCTAAAAAACACATGAAGAGGGGGATGGTTCTCAGTACAGGAGCAGACTTGCCCCCCTCCCAATAAAAGGGTGCAAAACACCAAAAAGGTAAATGTTGGAAAGTCAGGCTCTCAGGCAAATAGGAAATTACGAGGAGAGGCACCCCACTCCCCAAACCACCTTATTTCTCTAATCTCCAAGGAAAGAGCACTGGATTTGGAGTCAGGACTTATGCGTTTGCTGACACTGTCACTTCCTGGCTGTGTGATCTTGGATAATCTCATCTTCTGAACCTTAGTTTGCTATCTATCAAATAGGGTTGAGAGGGATACCTACCTTACAGTGCTATTGTGGGGAATCAGTTAGATAAAGGGTGTGAACATGTTTTTAAACTGTAAAGGGAAGGACTTTGTCATTATGAGATGTTATCATTCTTCTCTCTTTTTTTTCCCAGAGACCCCCCCGGCCGCCCTCCTCCTTCCCCTTGTTCCTGTGGCTGGGGGGGTACCTCCTCCCTCCACGCCATGGAACCATCTCCTCTCTCTCCCAGTGGGGCAGCGCTGCCCCTGCCTCTGTCACTGGCCCCACCCCCACTGCCCCTGCCTGCAGCTGCGGTGGTACATGTGTCCTTCCCTGAGGTGACCAGTGCCCTCCTGGAGTCCCTCAATCAGCAGCGGCTACAGGGCCAGCTCTGCGATGTGTCCATCCGAGTGCAGGGCCGGGAGTTCAGGGCTCATCGTGCTGTCCTGGCTGCCTCCTCCCCTTACTTCCACGACCAGGTTTTACTCAAGGGCATGACCTCCATCTCGCTGCCCAGCGTCATGGACCCAGGCGCCTTCGAGACTGTCCTGGCTTCAGCTTACACTGGCCGCCTCAGCATGGCTGCTGCTGACATTGTCAACTTCCTCACAGTGGGGTCGGTGCTCCAAATGTGGCACATCGTGGATAAGTGCACCGAACTCCTTCGCGAAGGCCGGGCCTCAGCAACCAGCACCACCGTCACCACTGCCGCAGCCACCTCTGCCACTGTCCCTGGGGCTGGGCTCTCATCAGGGAGTGGGGCCACCGTAGGCCCCGCCACCATGGGCTCTGTGCGCTCTCATGCCTCCAGCCGGGCCAGTGAGAATCAGTCCCCCAGCAGCAGCAACTACTTCAGCCCCCGGGAGTCCACTGATTTCTCCTCTTCCTCCCAAGAGGCATTTGCAGCTTCTGCAGTGGGCAGCGGGGAGCGCCGAGGAGGTGGCCCTGTATTCCCAGCCCCTGTGGTTGGCAGTGGGGGAGCCACCTCCGGGAAGCTGCTGCTGGAGGCAGACGAGCTTTGCGACGATGGTGGCGATGGGAGGGGTTCTGTGGTTCCCGGGGCTGGGCTCCGCCGGCCTACCTATGCACCACCCAGCATCATGCCGCAGAAGCACTGGGTATACGTGAAGCGGGGTGGAAACAGCCCAGCACCAGCACCCCTGGTTCCCCAAGACCCAGATCTGGAAGAGGATGAGGAGGAGGAAGACCTGGTGTTGACCTGTGAGGATGATGAAGATGAAGAGCTGGGGGGGTGGCTCCAGGGTTCCCGAGGCTGGAGGACCCGAGGCTACCCTTAGCATAAGTGATGTCCGGACCCTAACTGAACCTCCGGACAAGGGAGAGGAGCAGGTCAATTTCTGTGAGTCTTCCAATGACTTTGGCTCCTATGAGGGTGGGGGTCCTGGGGCTGGGCTTGATGATTCAGGGGGGCCAACCCCTTCATCCTACGCCCCCTCCCACCCTCCGAGGCCCCTGCTTCCACTGGACATGCAGGGCAACCAGATCCTAGTTTTCCCATCGTCTTCATCTTCCTCCTCCTCCTCACAGGCTCCAGGACAGCCACCTGGGAGCCAAGCTGAACATGGGGCGGTGACCCTGGGGGGCACCTCGGCCGGGGCCCTGGGCATGCCGGGTGGTGCTGGGGGGACCCCTGGAGGGACAGGCAGTGGGGATGGGAATAAGATCTTTTTGTGCCACTGTGGGAAGGCCTTCTCCCACAAGAGCATGCGCGATCGGCACGTGAATATGCACCTCAACCTGCGGCCCTTTGACTGCCCCGTGTGCAACAAAAAGTTTAAGATGAAGCACCACCTGACCGAGCACATGAAGACGCACACGGGCCTCAAACCCTACGAGTGTGGCGTCTGCGCCAAGAAGTTCATGTGGCGAGACAGCTTCATGCGCCACCGGGGACACTGTGAGCGCAGGCACCGCCTGGGCGGGGGCGGGAGTGGACCTGGTCCTGGGGGCCCGGTAGGGCCAGCCCTGCCACCCAAGAGAGAGTCCCCTGGCGGGGGTGGGGGCAGTGGCGATGAGGCGAGTGGGGCCACGCCCCAGTCCAGCCGAAGGGTCTGGTCCCCATCCAGTGTGCACAAGGTGGAGATGGGCTTTGGTGGAGGTGGAGGAACAAACTGAAGCGGCGGGCTCCTGGAGGTGGCTTTCTGGATGGAGGAAGCAGGGGGCACAAGGCAGGGGTGCTGTGGCCCTCAGGTGATCTCCCACCATGCTCAATGTCTTCCTTATCTCTCTGGACTTGTATATATTTTGGAGGGGGGAACCATGTTGCACCATCGGCCACCCCAGTCCGTTCCTCAGCCCCTCTCCCACGACATATCCAAGGAACTAAGTCCCCTTCCCCTCAGATGGGTGCACTGAAGCCCCCAGCTCCAGACTAGGGCACATATGGTGGGGGGAGGGAGGGGGGCCCGTGGAGCATCCTGGAGTCACAGGGTCAAGGGTCAGGTGGTTGTAGTCTGTACCTGAAGTCTGTGTTTGTGTTGTTGTGGGGACCAGGCCTTTGAGCCCCACCCTTGTCCTAGAACCCACCCCACCTCCCTAAGGATGTGCCCTATATTTCCACCCTCATCCCTCCTATCCCTCCTTGGGGGCCCCCAGCTGGATTCTCATTGAGGAGGGAGTGAAGACGAAGAGGGAGTAAGTCGTAAGAGTACACGGTTTTTATTTTAAATCTTATTTTTTTTAAATGGTGATTAAAATATTTATTGGTCATTTCACTCGGCTTACCAACAGGCCCTCTGTGTTTGCTGGGGTCCGGGCGCAGGTGGGGAAGGGCGGAGTAACCGAACTCTGGGAAGTAGAGTCTGGGGGAAGGGGCGGAGAGAGGAGGAGCCTGGGGTTGGGGAGCGCGCAGGGACCAGGTGGTGCTGTGTGCTCCAAGAGGGCGTGGCCGGCCCGAGGTCCCTTGGCCAGAACCCGAGCTACTGTTTCGGGATCCCCGCCGGGCCAACGCGGAAAGCACCTGCCGCCTGCGTGCCCTCACCCTACCAGAGAGGGGACTTCCTCCGCCTCTCCTGCCGGCTTTTCAAGGAAAGTGAAAGTGAAAGGGAGAAGTCGAGGCTTTGGGGCTGAGCAGATCGCGGCGCCATGAAGCCCCTGTCTCTGCTCCTCGCCGTGGCTTTGGGTGAGCGAACCCCGAGACTCAAAGGCCCAAGAACATGGGGGAGGTGGAGGGAAGTGAGCCCACCACGCGCCCGACGCGGGGGGCGTATCGCCCCCTCACTCGCGCCCCTCTCCCCCAGCCTTGGTGACCGCCGTCTCGGCGGGACCCGCGGTGATAGAGTGCTGGATGGTGGAGGACGCGGGCGGGGGCCGCCTGACCAAGAAACCTGCCGCGCTGCTGCTGCGCCAGGGCCCGGGGACACCACCTCCCCGGCCGGACCTCGAACCCGAGCTCTACCTCAAAGTGCATGGTGAGTTACCACGGACTCGCCCTCAACTCTGTCACTTCCACCGAAACCCCCTCCTCTTTAGGTCGCGCTGTGATCTCGGGCCTCAGTTTCCCCGTGTAAAATGAGTCTGGATTACCTCTAAATCTCCCACTGCTGGGTAGTTTGTGCCTTCGGGATTCCCTGGACGCTGCCCTCCCCGCCCCTTTCCTGGCGGCGACTGCAGCAGCAACTCCCTTCTCCCGGCTCACAGATCCCGCGGGAGCGCTCCAGGCTGCGTTCAGGCGGTACCCCTCGGACGCCCCCGCGCCCCACTGCGAGCTGAGCCACTACGTCCCGTTCCCCGCCTCGGCGAATTGGGCCAGGGGCCTGACCCCGGAGCAGAGCTGCCCGCGGTCCCTGGACGGGACTTGGCTCATGGTCAGCATATCCAGTTCGATCTTCCGCCTCTCCAGCCTCCTAAGAGTACAGTCCGAGCCTCAGCCCGAGCCTGCTCTCATCACCTTGGCAACAGGTAGAGAGGGGCGGGCGGAGGGGGTTGGAAGTGGAGAAGAGTGGGTAATTCTGAGGGTCAGGATCAGCCTGTGACTCGACGTGTGAACTCGTTTCCCCAGTTGGGGCTTAGTTTCCTCATTTGTAAAGGCGAGGCGGTTCGGCTAGGATTGTTTAATCGGTCTCAACAGCTTCTTCTCGCTCCTGCCCAGTTTCAAACAATCACAATCCTCCCTTTAGGGGGCGGGGCTTCGTGGAGTTCCGGAGGGCTGAGCTTTGGAGAAAGTCTGACTTTTCCTGCCCTGGGACCTTGAGAAACTTGTAAGGGGATGGGGTTGGGAGAAGCTCAGAAGCAGGAACCTTTTTTCTCCGCTCGTCCCTGGTCTGTGTCTTGCTAGGTAGACACTGCCATCTTTGCGGTTTTCGCTTTTTCAGAAACCGGCGTCGAAGCGTCCAAGCCCCATCTGTGCCCACATCCGGAGCTGTGGCCTTTAGCTAGGCAAAGGCTCTTGCACTCGAGTGCGTCGACCCTTCTTGCCAGCCCCTTCCCTATGGCTCGTGAGCACGCACTGATTCTGTGGTCACCACACGCACTGATTCTGTGGTCACCAAATGGTGGGCTGGCCTGTGTGGAAAAGACGGGAGGCCTGATGGCTCCCACCGCCGGCATCGCTCGTGAGCTGGTGCAGAGCGTTTTGATGGGCAGGGATCTGGCATTTTACCGAGCTGAGGCTTGAGAGGGAGTGGGCGGATAAAGCAAGACTGGGGTCCATGGGGGCTCACCCTTCTCGCAGCGGAGGGTGGGGTAGGATACCAGTAGAGTCATTGGCTTCCTTCAGTCTTGTGAGGTTTTTTTTTTTTTTTTTTAAGCTTACCTAGTTTTAGATGTATCTCTATACACAATATAGGGCTCAAATTCAAGACCTCTGAGATCAAGAGCCACAATGCTCTTCCGACTGGGCCAGCCAGGTGCGTCTTGTGCCATTTTTTTGTAAACAATACAGCACAACTGGCAGGCCAACCCTCCCTTCTCCCTTCCCCAGGACCACCTTCCTGCCACCCAGAGTGAATCACCCCAGGACCAGGGAAAGGGACTCAGCACCCATTCATCACCTCTACCTATGCGGCCATTCTTAGTTCCCAGGCCCCATCCTAGGCAGGGGCAGAGGCAAACTGCTCCTTGTCGGGAGAGTAGCTCTCTCCAGCAGGCAGGAATATTTCACAGAGCTGTGGGCTTAACCAAGGTGCGGGGTGAGGAGATGCTTTTCTCTCTGAGTCTGTTTTTCCAGCTATAAAATGTGGATGCTATTTCCCATTTGCCTTTCTCTTTGTTGTGACTCTCAGGGGAGACACTTTGTTAATTTACTCACCAATTCAATATTTATTAGTACCAAGGAGAAATTTGAGCCCAGTTGGTTCTCAGTCCAGGCTGCAAATAAGAGTCCTCTTGAAAGTCTCTAAAATTGGGGTGCCTGGGTGGCTCAGTCGGTTAAGCAGCTGCCTTCAGCTCAGGTCATGATCCCAGGGTCCTGGGATCAAGCCCCACTTCCGGCTTGTTTCTCCCTCTACCGCTGCCTGACGTACTTCCTGCTTGTGCTCTCTCTCTCTCTCTGTCAAATAAATAAAATCTTAAAAAAGAAAAGTCTCTAAAATATACTGAATCGTCCCACTCCGGGTGAATTAAATCAGAATCTCTGAGGTGGTCCTGGGCACTTTTAAGGATCAGGAAGGTGATCAGATGTAGATTCTGCTTTCAAGAAGGTTTTTGGAAGATTTGTCTTGGCTAATTGTAGAGTGTAAGATAGTTTGGGCCATGAGAGAAGTGTGGATAGGAGCCCTGGAGTGCCCTGGGTGGGAAAATTTTCTGCTGCTCATAGACCCCTGGGGGTAAAAATTAGTTGCTGTGCTCAGTCTTCCTTTTCAAGCATTTCTACTTGATTGGGGATTGAAGAAAATGAAAGTGGTTTTAACGTAAAATTTAAAATGAATCTTTTAGGGGCACCTGGGTGACTCAGTGGGTTAAAGCCTCTGCCTTCGGTTCAGGTCATGATCCCAGGGTCCTGGGATCAAGCCCTGCATCCGGCTTTCTGCTCAGCAGGGAGCCTGCCTCCCACCCCCACCACGTCTGCCTCTCTGCCTCCTTGTGATCTCTGTCTGTCAAATAAATAACTTTAAAAAATTGTTAGAAAAATAAATAAAATGAATCTTTTAGGGGCACAAATCATTGGTAATTTTGCTAATATACATTTATACAGTATTTCTTAGCAAATACTTTAAAATGTTTGTTGCTAAATACCTGCCCTAACATACTTCGTGTGTATGGTTTTTTAATTCTCGTCGTTCTTTTAAAACATTTACGGAAAATTTCAAACACACATAAAAGTAGAGAGAATGATCGAATGAATCTCATAGACCCATCCCCCATTTTTTAAAAAGATTTTATTTATTTATTTGATAGACAGAGATTACAAATAGGCAGAGAGGCAGGCAGGGAGAGAGGAGGAAGCAGGCTCCCCGCCGAGCAGAGAGCCCGATGCGGGGCTAGATCCCAGAACCCTGAGATCATGACCTGAGCTGACGGCAGAGGCTTTAACCCACTGAGCCACCCACGCGCCCCCCATCCCCCATTTTTGTGGTTAGTAGGTTTTACCACATTTTTTGCCAACCCTTCTCCCACCTTTTTTCTTTTCTTTTCTTTTCTTTTTTTAAGATTTTATTTATTTATTGGACAAAGAGAGAGAGAAACAGTGAGAGAGGGAACACAAGCAGGGGGAGTGGGAGAGAGCGAAGCAGGCTTCCGGCAGAGCAGGGAGCCCAGGACCCTAGGATCATGACCTGAGCCGAAGGCAGACGCTTAAGGACTGAGCCACGCAGACACCCCTGCTTTTTTTGAAGTGTTTTAAAGTATATATCAGACATCCTATTATTTACTCCTAATTACTTCAGTAAGCATCTTTATCAAATAAGGACTCAAAAAAAGAAAACAAACCATTGTCATAACAAACCAAACAACAATTCTTTAATATCACTTAATTTCTTGCCCATATTAAAATTTCCCCAGTTTCTCAGTGATATTATTTTACAGTAGATTTTCTTGAATCTGGATCAAAAACAGGTCTCTGTGTATTACATTTGGTTCTTGATCTGCTTGGATTACCATAACAAAGTATCATAGATTGGGTGTCTTAAATTTATTTTTTTTTCTTTTTTTTTTTAATTTTATTTTTTTATTTTCAGCAAAACAGTATTCATTGTTTTTGCACCACACCCAGTGCTCCATGCAATCCATGCCCTCTCTAATACCCACCACCTGGTTCCCCCAACCTCCCACCCCCCCCACCTTCAAAACCCTCAGATTGTTTTTCAGAGTCCATAGTCTCTCATGGTTCACCTCCCCTTCCAATTTCCCCCAACTCCCTTCTCCTCTCTAACTCCCCTTGTCCTCCATGCTATTTGTTATGCTCCACAAATAAGTGAAATCATATGATAATTGATAAATTTATTTTCTTACAACTGTGGAGGCTAGAAGTCCCAGATCAGGTCTAAGATCAAGGTGCTAGAGGGGTTGGTGTCTGATGAGAGAGCTCAGCCCTTGTGGTTGCACGTGGCCACTTCCGGCTATGTCCTCATAAAGAGGAGAGAGGGAGCTCTGGTGTTTCTTCCTCTTCTTAAAAGGACACCAGCATATCAGGTTAGAGCCCTATGTTAATTATCTCATTTGATCATGATCACCTCTTCACAGCCCCTATCTCCAAATACAGTTGGCCCCTGAACTGTGGAGGAGTGGTGGGCGTGGGGGGGTGGGGAGAGCCATCACAGGTCCTGACCCCACCCCCAGCAGTCAAAAATCTGCATACCCTTGACTCGCCCAGAATTTAACCACTCATAGCTTACTGTTGACTGGAAACCTTACTGAAAATGTAAACAGTTGACTGACACATATTTCATGTGTTGTATTACATACTGTGTTCTTAAAGTAAGCTAGAGAAAACGTGTTATTAAGAAAATTTATCACAAAAAAAAAATCACGAGGAGAAAATACATTTATATTACTGTACTGTTAAAAAAAACCAAACCTGCATATAAGTGGACCCTCACAGTTCAAACCTGTGTTGTTCAAGGGTCAACAGTATAGTCACTTTGGGGGTTAAGGCTTTAACAAATGAACTTGGGTGGGGGTACCACAGACATAGAGTCCATAACAGTTTTGTCTCTTAAGTCTCCATTATTCTGTAATTGCCCTGCACCCCCGAAAGGCTCTTGGCTTGTCACTTGTCCTGTAAAACTCCCCATATTCTGTATTTGGCTGAGTGTTTCCTCATTGTGTCATTTTCCTCCTTGTTCCTTTAACCTCCATACTTCCTTTGAATTGAATAGATCTAGAAACTTGATTAGATTTGGACTTAAATTTTTTCAGTAACGCTTTATAATAATTACTACCATTCACTTTATTTTTTTTTAAAGATTTTATTTATTTATTTGAGAGAGCACAAGCAGGGGGGAGTTGGCAGGGTGAGAGGGAGAAGCCAACTCCCTGCAGAGCAGGAAGCCTGACATGAGGCTCGATCCCAGGACCCTGGGGTCATGACCCACGCTGAAGGCAGACACTTAACCGACTGAGCCACCCAAGTGCCCCAACCATTCAGTTTATTAACAGAAAAGCAAAAACCTATATAACGCAAGCTATAGAAACAGATATGAGTTTCCTTGGGGTTCTGGCTCTGTTGCATTTATATTTGTATTTCTTGGAGTCCTGCTTGTGGGATGCACGTCTAAAACTGCTCATTCAACCAATGTGAAAGAGTTCTGTTAGGTTAAGGGTTAAATTAAGCTGTAAAACCTTCAGATTTTATTAATCCTGTGGATTGTTTTTAACAGTTCAAAAGTATGTTTCTGGATTTTGATAAATGAAGTGAACTGCCTACTTTTTTACTTTAGTGAACAAAAACTGTCCCATGAGGTTGAGAGAAGTTTCATCTTGTGGGGCTCAGAAGCTACGATTAAAAATTACATAATCACAGTTGAAAATTATGTAATACTTTTATGTGAAGGACCAACATTTCTGGGAAGAAGGAGCAGGAGAACTGACCTTGAGGGACATGGAGTATTTAAATATTTGGGAGACAATGGGGAGGGACCCGAAGGACCCTTATGACCATAGCAAAGAAAGGCCCAATGATTAGAGTTTCTAGTAGACACAGAAAGGGATTCTTTGGAGCTGGTTCTTGGGGTGCAAGAGAAGTCTGGAAGGGTGGGTTGGGGGCTAGGTTATCAAGTGCCCTGAGATCTGGGCTTTATAGGTGACAGTGAATCATCAGTAGTTTTGTGTGTGTGTGCACATGTGCACGTGTGCACACACACGCATGTCATTTTCCCAAAAGCCTGCTATTTTACTTGATTCTTACAAAGGTAGGCAAGGATCAGATCATTGGGCAGATGAGAAAAATAGAGCTTGAATGATTTTCCTGAGATACCCAGCAAGACCGTGAGGAGGATGATGGCTGTACTGAAAATAGCAACACCTAACATTTATTGAGCATTTTTTTTTTAAGATTTTATTTATTTATTTAACAGACAGAGATCACAGGTAGGCAGAGAGGCAGGCAGAGAGAGAGAGGGGAGGAAGCAGGCTCCCCGCGGAGCAGAGAGCCCGATGCAGGCCTCGATCCCAGGACCCTGGGATCATGACCCGAGCTGAAGGCAGAGGCTTTAACCCACTGAGCCACCCAGGCCCCCTATTGAGCATTTTCTATAGCCAGGTCCTGGCATTTTATTGGCATAACCTCATTTATTCCTGTCAACAACCAAAAGAACGAGGTACTGATATCCTCCCCAGGTCACGGATGAAGAGATCTGAGACAGAGCACTTGGGGAACTTGTCCAAGAACTACCAGCTTGTAAGAAGCCACGCTGGGGATTGAGCCTGGCTCGTTGAGCTCCAGCTTGTGCCTTAGTCGCCTGCTTCGTTGGTAGCTGGGTTTTTTAAACAGGCACGTGACCGGCTCAGACTTGTAGCCACACTGTGTGGCTCCAGCGTGGACGATGAATTGAAGAAGAGGGAGACCGAGGATAGGAAGACCTGAGAGGAGGTTGTAATTGTCCTTATGTATCTTGGTGAGAACTTGAGCTGGAGACAGAGGTGGGATCTCTCAGGAAGACTGAATTAGGGCCTGGTGGGGACAGCCCGTGGTACATTATATTTGCCAATTTGCTCCTTTGTCTCCCTTACTAGACCATAAGAAACTTGAGGGCAGTCCCTGTCTCATTCACCGCTCTGTCCTCTACCTTGAACATCGGTGCTCAGTAAATATTAGTCGAGTGAGAGAATTGGAGGACGAGTCTTGGTGACGTCAAGTGTTTGCCTTTAGTGTCTGGGGGGCTACTGGTGATCCTTCATCAGGGCGGGGGGAATGGGCATTGGAGTGGGGTGAGGGAATGCTGCAGAAATGCTGTTGAGTTGGGGCACGTTAAGTTGGTCAGACGGACGGTTAGATGTAATCACCGTAAACACTTTGGTGGCCTTACTGTATTCTGGGCCCTGTTTGAAGCACCTTCCAGATATAGGTGTCTTTGTTATCCAGATGCCGGAACTGAATAAATCTGGTAGCAGGAGGCACTAAATGATTTAACCCTCATGACAACCCCATGAGATAGGTACTATTACCATCATTATTATCTCATTATTTAGGAGACTAAACTGAGCCATGGCAAAGTGAAACAACCAGCCCATGGGGCCGTATAAATAGCGGGAGAGTAGGGATTAACCAGCGCGGCCCAGCTCCAGGAACTTAACTAGCATCCCCTGTCTCAGCAGAGCATAGAGGTCTGTGTCCAGGTCTAGGCTAGAGCCAGAACCTTCCAGAGTCAGTAAGTGCTCTGCACAGCTCCAGAGGATTGACAGCCTGAGTTATCCCAGCCTTCTCGAGCGAACCAAGAAAGGCCTCGTTCTTTAAGGGTGGGGCATGGAGACGGGACTGGTTCAGGCTGTGTCAGAAGTGCACTCAGCCCACGGACCCCAGAGCTTGAGCAGGCTCTGTGCTCAGACCAGCCTTCAACGGCTGTGCCCACTCACTGCCCCTGTTCTGGACCTGTCTGCTCACTCTTAGCCACCCTGGGTCCCATGCAGGCCCAGAACAAAGAAGGATTTGCAGGGAGGACTAGAAGGTGGCGGGTATCAGAAAAGGAGGTGTCCTCTGAGGGGTGGGTGAATTTGAGTTGGGTCCTCCCTATAATTCTGTTTCTCTATTTTTTTTCCTCTTTCTTTCTGTCCCTCTTGCCCCTTCCACTCCCTCCGCTCCTCATGTTCCCCAGCTGTGCTGACTGTCCTCACCCACAGCCCCGTCCCTCGGATCCAGCTGGGACAAGATGCTCTGCTGGACTTGAACTTTGCCTACATGCCCCCCATCTCTGAGGCTGCTACATCTCTGGCCCCAGGTCCCCCTCCCTTCGGGCTGGAGTGGCGACACCAGCACCTGGGAAAGGGGCACCTGCTCCTGGCTGCAACTCCAGGGCTGTGTGAGCAGATGCCAACTCCCCAAGAGGGGGCCGTGGCGTTTGTCGCCTGGGATGATGATGAGCCGTGGGGTCCGTGGACTGGAAATGGGACCCTCTGGCTGCCTGCGGTACGGCCCTTCCAGGAGGGTGCCTACCTCGCCACTATACACCTGCCGTACTTGCAAGGGCAGGTCACCCTGGAGCTTGCTGTACAGAGTGAGTTGGGTACAGGGATCTTCACGGGTCAACGGTGGGCACAGGGATTGGGCAACACCATGATGGCAGAGAAGACGGTGCTGCGTGAGTGGCAGGAGGCAGATGGAGGTCTCTTGGAGTCAGAGGGGCAGTGGGGGGAGGTCCCTGGGAATCTGAGTGATGGGGATGAAGGTTCTCGAATCTGAAGAATAGGACATCCCTGAGAATGAGGGTTTTAGCATGGGGTTTCCTACGAAGCACCAGTGGGAAGACAGCGGGTTCCCCATCCTGGAAGAAAAAAAATCCAAACCCATCTCAGTTTGGGGGAAAGCATAGGGTAAACTAAGGGTCTCTGAGGGAGGACAGATGTGGACTGATTCCCTCCATGCTCCTTTCCTGTTTTCTCCCCAGAGCCCCCCAAAGTCTCCCTGATGCCGGCACCTCTTGTATGGGCTGCCCCCGGGGAGGCACCCCCTGAGTTGGTCTGCCACGTGTCCCACTACTATCCTTCCGAGGGCCTGGTGGTGGAGTGGGAGCTCCGGGGCGGCCCAGAGGGCAGCTTTCAGAAGGCCAAGGGGCAGAGGTGGCTCTCTGCCCTGAGCCACCACTCAGATGGCTCTGTCAGCCTCTCCGCGCACCTGCAGCCCATCCCGGTCACGGCCAAACACCATGGGGCACGCTACGCCTGTCGTGTCCACCACCCTACTCTGCCCGCCTTGGGGCGCAGTGCCGAGGTCACCCTGGAGGTGGCAGGTAGGAGTCAGGAGGAGGATGGAGCTGCCAGGGGTGGGGTGGGGGTGGATGTCGGCACCTGGGAAGATACTGAGTTCACTCTCCCCGCTTCCACCTGCCAGGTCTCTCTGGGCCCTCACTAGAGGACGGTGTGGGCCTTTTCCTGTCTGCCTTTCTCCTCCTTGGGCTCATCAAAGCACTGGGCTGGGCTGGTAAGTGTGACCCTCACTGCCACAGTGACAGTCCCTGCCTACTCCCAGTGGCCTGCCACCTATCCCTCTGCCCTACCACTACTTCATACCATCCCTTTTCAATCTCTCTCCACAGCTGCCTACAAGTCCACTTTGAAGGATTCAGAGGAGAAGGTAACAGTCCTCTTTCTTTCCATTCTCATTTGAGCCTTTCCCTGTAATTCCTCACCCAGGGACTCCTCATGCAAACTCCACCCTGGATTTGGAATTCTCACAGACCTGGGTTAACTCCTGCCACTTTGAATGTTTACTTAACACCTCCGTTTCCTTGAGCGTAAGGATGAAAAAAATTACTTAGGCGAAAGCACTCCGCCCAGTGTCTGCCATAGGAGCCCTGTTCCTCTGCCACCCTCTGTGCCCACGAGAGTTCATTTATCTCTGGACCAATCATGAGCATTTCACCTCGTCTTCTAAAACCCAGAATGCCTCACCTCCTTTTTTATTTCTCTTCCAGAAAGTACAGTGAGGGCACTCATCACCATCCTGGGGAAGCCGCCATCATCTCTGGCCTGAGTTACTGCAGTAGCGCCCCCAAATACTACACCATTACCTGCTCATGCTCTCTCCACCCTCTCTCTCCACAGAGCAGCTGGAACCCTTTTTCAAAGGACACAAACCTATAGCATTTCCTTTCTTAGAGCTCTAAGGCAGTGGTTCTCAAAAAATTTTAATCTCAGGCCTGCTTAAGAATTGTCAAGAATGCTAGAGAGCTTTTTGGTTATGTGGGTGATAAACTACAGATATTTATGCTACTAGAACCTAGTAAATTATGCTACTTAGTAAGTTCTAGTAGCATCAATTGCTTAGTAAGCAAGCCTGCGTTCTTTTAGCTGTGAGGACAATGATGTCAGTAGACAGCTTCTGGAAAACTCTAATGGTACAATATTTTGGAGAAAGTGAAAAAGGCAATATTGTTATGAATAGCCTTAACTTCGCACACCCACAGAAATAGTCTCCAGGACCTCCGGGACAAGGGCCACACTTGGAGAACCAGTGCTCTAGAAGCCAAATCCATTTCCTGTCCTGGCCTAGGCATCTCCCGCTGTGGAGCCACCACTTGCCTCTTCAATCCTACCTGGTACCCTCTAGCCCTTATTTCAGTGTCACATCGATGTCGATTTTTTTTCCAATGGCTCCCACTTTCCCCGGTCTGTTCCCTTTGTCTGGTCCACCCTCGCCCTTCTTGGGCTCCAGACCAGGTCAGCCTCGTTATTCCCTCAGACCAAGCAGTGTCCCTTTCGTGCAGTTCACCACAGTTGTATTTAAGTGATTGTGCGAGTCCTTGTCAGATGCCTGTCTTCCCTGCCCTACTGTCGGTTCCTCAAAAGGCAGGAACGTGCCTGTCTGTCCCCTGCTGTGTCCCCGATCCGGCAGAGGGCCGGGCGCCCACTGGAGGGCGCTTAACACAAGAAATTAGTCCTTTTCTCGTCCTAAGAATTCAAAAGCAGGTGTTCGACCAAAGAACTACGGGATGAAGGAAACGGCAGCTGGCCTGGGGACCTCCGAGGGGGCGGACGGTCGGCTAGACCCACGCGGAAAGCGATCTAATCGTGTGGGAATAAAGTTGTGTTCTAGTGCTCCCAACAGGGTGTCTCATTCTACCCCACGGGTCCCCTTTGCAAGCAAGCACAAGACTCTTACAGCCACCTCTGGTCCCTTCCACTTACCCCCGACCTCTCAAATGCTTTGGCGACACCCAACCCTCCGGAACAGTGGGGGTCGAGCGCCACTCAAGGCGGGCAGGACGCCCTCTAGCAGCAGGCTTCGGTGGGGCGGGGGTCGGGGTTCGGGGGTAAGCCTAAAGGAGCGCGCATACCAGCGCCGGGCGCCGGAAACCCGGGAGAGCCGAACCTAGAACCGGAAGTGGCCGTTTCCTGCTCCGCCCCCTCACGAGAGGGCGGGAACCCCGCGCTCCTCGGAAAACGCGGAGTGGATTCCGGTCAGCTACACGCGTGGGTGTGAGTGGGGAGGGTAACCCAGCAGGGTGGCGTAACCGATCCCTCTCGGCCTAAAACGCTTCCCACGGCAGTTCTAGCCTCGGTGTTGTAGGGTGGAGGGGAATGTCATGTTCGGCTCCTGTCCTTCCTCGGGAGCTGGAGACTGGAATCTTTTCCAATTAAGTGCGGGGCGACGCGGGCCCCAGTATCCCCGCAGAGGGGGCCCCGAGGACAGCGGAGCTGGGGACCCTGGTTGCTGGGTCTCGGCCGCTGGACGTCCAGCGCTCCCCTAGTCCGCGGCCCTGGCTCCTGTCCTCACTTCCTTCCCTTTTTGGCTCCTGCTGTCGGAACGGGCGGACGTGGGGGGGAGCGGAAAGGGCGGGAGGGCCCGGGAGCCTGGCGGGGGGGTAACAGGGGGTGAGGAAAAGCCGTGGAGGGGACTCGGTCCAGGGACTCGGTTGGGGACCGGAGACCGACGGGAACAGCGGCCCGGGATCCCTGCTGCTCTCACCATTCCCGAGCAGGTCAGAGCCAGAGCACCCTGTGACCCTGCCCGTTTCCGTACTCGTGACCCCCCCATCCCCAAAATGCACCAGGGATCCCCATATTCCACTATTGTGTTGCGGCCCCCCCCCCCCCCCCCCGCACCCCCCCCCCGCCCCCCCCCCCCCCACCCGCGTCCCCCCCCTCCCCGATCCCCCGCGCCCACCTGACTCTCCACCTGCACTCCCCTCCGTTTCTCCCCAGGCGCCCCCATGGCCCGACCCCGCTGATTCCTTCACTCGGCCATGCTCCCGCGGCCCCTGCGGCTGCTTTGGGACACGAGTCCCCCCGGGGGAGTCGTGCTGAGCAGCTTCCGGAGCCGAGACCCCGAAGAGGGTGGGGGCCCAGGTGGCCAGGGCGTGGGCGGGGGGCAGGAGGAAGAGGAGGAGGAGGAAGAAGACGAGGTGAGACGCGAGTGGTGGGAAGTCGGGGAGGTATACATTTCGGAGACTCTCCATCTTGGTCTCGTGCCTCTGTGTCCCTTCATCTCTTCCTCCCAGCCTCAGTTATTTCCGCGCCTCTTGCTGGGTGTCTGCCTGTCTGCCCGCTGCGGGGAGTCCCGGAGTTTCTGTGGTTCCCCGTGGCAGTGTGACTCAGGACCTGCCCGCAGGAACCGTCCCTGTTCCTGCCAGAGCGTCTGGCTCTCTATCCTGCGAGTCTCTGGCTCTCCCTGCTTCGGCCTGATTGTGCCTGCCTCTCTGGGCACCGTGTCTTGATCCCTGTCGCCCTCCTTGTTTTTGTTTGGCGGGGAGGGGTTTGTTTCCACAGTAACCGGCTCCACTGACTCTGGGATTGGGGAGGGAACCCTTCGATTTCGTGACCCCTCCCCCTCTCCCGCTGGGCAAAGAGTGGAGGCGGGAAGCCCAGGTTTTTGGACTTTGGAGGGTAGATCCCAGGCCGAGTTGGGGTTGGGGGAGGTGTCACCTGCATTCCTCCGGGCCTAATGGTGGTGGCCAGGAGTAGGATTTGGGGCCTCAGGAGGGGCCAGAACTTGGATTCGGGGCCCCGAGGCCCTGGACTCTTAGGTTCAGAGACTGGGTGAGGGCAGGGTGACTGGCAGGGCTGGTTTTTCGGGATCTGTTGGGGGAGGGGCTGGGGCCACGTGACTCTCTTGAGTCTGCTGGCGCGCCCCCCCCCCCATCATCCCAACTTCCCCTTCTCCTTCCTGTACTGGGATTGGAGCCGCCACCTTGAGGGGGGTCTCCCAGCAATGAGGGACCAGGGAACGGGGGCTATGGGGAAGAACTAACTCCTGGGGCTTGGTCAGTTCCTGCGGGGGAGGGTGGAGCTTGCGGCTGTGCCTGTGACTGGGGTTCCAACTTCTCAAGGCCTCTGCCTCTGGCTTTCTGTCTCTATTGCTTCCCCCTCCTATTCTTTGCACCTTGCTTCTGTGCTGTGTTGGGGTTCAGCTCTGGGGGGAAAGGGCTACAGCGGTCTCCAGACCCAGGGTTCCTGCGTTCCACCCGCCCCCGCACCCCCTCGACTCCACCGGGCCCTGAGGCGGCTTGGGGGGGGCTGTCTGGGCCCCAGTGGGGGAGACCTGGGGTCACCAGCCCCCCCCACCCCTCGCACTCGCTGGTACTGTCCCCCGCCACCACAGGTGAGGGGTACAGAGGGAGGAGTAGGGCCTGGGAATGAGGGCTGGGGGCAGTGGGGGGGTGGTGTGGGACTGTCTGACCTCCCTTCCTTACTCCACCAGGCCCCTGTGTCTGTCTGGGATGAGGAGGAGGATGGTGCCACCTTTACTGTCACAAGCCGCCAGTATCGGCCTCCCGATCCCTTGGTGAGATCCTGACTCTGGCTTCTCATCTCTGACCCATACCTCCCAGTGCCTCTTTCTCTGCCCAACTTTTTGGCCAGAGTGCTAAGTCAGAGGTCTGGAGAACTGAACTCTGCCATGTGACTTAGGTCAAGTCTTTGGCCCTCTCTGAATCTTAATATAACAAGCCTGGACCATCTTTTAGGTCTGGGATTTCCCTCAGAGATCTGGGGGCTGAGTTGGAAAAGGGTCAGTGACTTTCCTCTGTCTCCCCCAGGCCCCGACACCTCCCCCACGTTCCTCCAGAAGGCTCCGAGCCGGCACTCTGGAGGCCCTGGTCAGACACCTGCTGGATGCCCGGACATCAGGGGCTGACGTGACCTTCACATCAGCTTTCCTGGCCACCCACCGGGCCTTCACCTCCACGCCTGCCCTGCTAGGGCTTATGGCTGACAGGTCAGGGTCATAAAGGGCCAAGGGTTGTGGAGGTGTCTGGACTTTCTGAAGCCAGGAAATCCCACCAAAATAGTCAAAGCCACTGGGGGTTTGGAAAAAATGGGCAGATAGGATCCCTTCTCCTTCCCAGGCTGGAAGCCCTTGAATCTCATCCTACTGGTGAACTAGAGAGGACAATAGGGTGAGTGACCCGTGGCTGCCGACCTTACTGATGCTTCTGGCTGAGCTGCAGCTTGATCTCTGAACCCTGGCCTCCCCCTCTCCCAGGGTAGCCATCTCTGTACTGTCAACCTGGCTGGCCTCTCACCCTGAGGATTTTGGCTCTGAGGTCAAGGGTCAGCTTGACCGGCTTGAGAGCTTCTTGCTTCAGACCGGGTATGCAGCAGGGACGGGTGTTGGGGGGGGCGGCGCTGACCTCATCCGCAACCTCCGGTCCCGGGTGGACTCCCAGGCCCCCGACCTTCCTAAGCCCCTGGCCCTCCCCGGCGATCCCCCTGCTGACCCCACGGATGTCCTGGTGTTCCTCGCTGACCACTTGGCCGAACAGCTGACCCTGCTAGATGCGGTGAGACCCTGACCTCTTACCCCATGCCCCTGCCCCCTGCCCCCTTGCTAACCTTTCCCTGACTCCACATCCTTTCCTTGCTTCCAACCCTTCCTGATCCGGCTCCCAGGCTCCTCTGTCCATTCGGTTTTGACTTTTCCCCTGTTGCCCTTGATTGTTACCCTTCAAACCCCACGCCCCTATGGTTCCTTGGCCACCTGAGATCCTTGCGCCCCTGATATTGGAAGGCTGACCTCACTTGACTCTGAGATTTAATGTCTGCCCTCTGTCCTGCAGGAGCTGTTTCTCAGTCTGGTCCCCTCTCAGTGCCTGGGGAGCCTGTGGGGTCACAGAGACCGGCCAGGACATTCCCACCTCTGCCCATCTGTCCGAGCCACTGTCACACAGTTCAACAAAGTGGCAGGGGCGGTGGTCAGCTCTGTTCTGGGGGCTACCTCAACTGGAGAGGGGCTCGGGGAGGTGACCATTCGGCCACTCCGTCCTCCCCAGAGGGCCCGGCTCCTGGAGAAGTGGATCCGCGTGGCAGAGGTAAGAAGGAGGCTTGGCCCTGTTGGGGACCCTGGTGTAGAGGGAGATCCCAGAGCTCAGGCCTCCCTTTGTGGCCCCCCCATAGGAGTGCCGTCTGCTCCGAAACTTCTCTTCAGTTTATGCTGTTGTGTCGGCCCTGCAGTCCAGCCCCATCCACAGGCTTCGAGCAGCCTGGGGGGAAGCAGCCAGGTGGGGAGTCTGGGGCACTGGACGGGAGCTGAGGGCTGGGAAGAGGCGTGGGGGCGAGCTTGGCCATCCTCAAGGTTATTGCCCTCCACCCCGCCAGGGACAGCCTCCGAGTCTTCTCCAGCCTCTGCCACATTTTCTCTGAGGAGGATAACTATTCCCAGAGCCGGGAGCTCCTCTCGCAGGTGAGGCCCTGCTCGCTGGTGCTCGCAGCTTTCCCCGCTCCCCATCCCACACCCAAACCTCCTTGTTCTGTCACCACCAGGAGGTGAAGCTGCAGCCCTCTCTGGAGACGAATTCCAAGAAGGCCCCGAGGTCTGGCTCCCGGGGTGGGGTGAGTGACTAGCTGGGGGGTGGTTGTGAAAGAGGAAGGAGTGTGGGGGGGGAAGGGGTCTGAGGGATGGCTAGGGGACACATAGCAGGGGGTGGGGGGTGGAGTTAAGTTTGTCCTCCGAGGTCATGGGACAGGAAAGTGCAGAGGGATAGTGGAGCCATCAGATGAGGGGGAGGGGCGTATGGCTGATCCTGACCTCTGATCTCAGGGTGTGGTCCCATACCTTGGCACCTTCTTGAAGGACCTTGTGATGCTGGATGCAGCCTCCAAGGATGA